GAATTTTGGCAGAAAATAAACCCTTGCAGATCAGAGGGGCTTGGTGTGCCTGGGCTTCAGTTCTGGTTAGAAGCAACTCTGCACCATCAGCCTGGTCACGTTCTGTAGGAACAGTCATGATCACAGATTCACAAATAGTGCAGTTTATTGAAAGAACAGAAATAACAGATTCAGAATTGTCATGGATGAACATACCAGCTGTGAGAGAACTCTAATAAAAACCATATTATTGTATTAACTTGGTTAATAGTAATCCTACACAGAAGCTTACCCAAGAAAGTGTCCTCCCCTGAGAGAAGGGAGAGCAGAGCAACCATTCACCTGTCTCCATCTGGGTTTTTTGCGTCTTCCTCCTAGCAAGGTGAAATTTCTACACTCCTGATATACAGCCCAAACGAAACCTCCTGCATCTTACAAGCTTATTAGCCTATGCAGGGATGAGAACTTTAAAAGACAGGCAAAATTCACTTTTTAGCTGTGCTGTCATTCAAATTTTCAGTGCACAGCCTTGTTCTGTTCTTCACATCTTACCTTCACAGGACCTTCCCCCACAGCCAGCTCAGCCTTTCATGATATCTGCCATGCAGATCTCCGTCTGCAAAGATAGCAAATGAACACAGCATGTGCTGCACACAGTAAGCCTTGGCCCTTCCCTGGCTCCTTCAGGGACCATCCTCCATCCCACAGTAAGGCTGGAGCAGCCAGTGCACTGATGATCCAGCACAGCAACATGAAGATTTTCAAACATAACATTCAACACCCTTAATGCAGTTTTAGATATCTGAAAGTGTTTGCAAATTTATTTTTTCCTGGCTGGTGAAAGAGTGTGGAGGGCAGAAGGTAAGGAACATCTAGATTACTATTTTTTTTCCCCTTCAAGTGACAATTTAGCTGAAAAACATAGCATTTTGAATCTTGGAAACTGCATTTACATAAATTGGAACGTCTAAATAGAAACAAAACAGTCCATTCCTAGTAAATGAAAGGATTAACTTTATCTGGACAGTTTATTTTTCTCTCTCATTTTCTAACTATGGTTATGAAAAGGAATGGGGGGGAATCATTCCAGGCTGACCCAAAATAGGTCTCTCACCCACTCCGAGGCTAAAGAGACGATGTGAGGTGTCCTGCATCTTAGCTCATGACTTGGGCCTTTAAGAAGATATGAGCAGCTAAAAAAGGGGCAGATTAATACGAATTTAAGTAATACCATGCCTTCAAGGCATTGGGGTTTTTTTAGCAATGGGAGCAGGACAACACAGAGCTGGATAGAAGGACTGTGATAATCTATTTCCAAAAAAGCCCAGTTTCTCAGAGGAAACAAGCTTTGTAGAAGGTTGCTGTGATACACACAGGACAAATGTTCTGCAGCCCAGAAAGCAAACAAACCAACCCTACTTCAAAGAAATGACAGTGAGCCAAGCAAGTGGAAAGACCTGCAAGAGAAATATGAGAAGTGATTTTAATCACATTTTCCTGCTGCGTTTTTCATTGCTGAAGGGCTTTCACCAGCTGTAATTGTAATGCTCAGACACTGATCAAGGATGGATAAATTCTGTGGCCACAGTTCTGCAGTGATCAATGCCACCAGCACTGCTCTGCTCCTGGTTACACAGGGTGACAACCCGCTCAGAGGAGGTGAATCCACTTGCCTGGGTCTGCCTGGTCTTTTTTCAGTTGAATAAGGAACACCAAAAAAAGAGAAGAATGGACATTCCTATGGCAGAAACCACCCTGAGAAAAGGAAAATGAGGGAGTGCTGAAGGCAGCCAATACTTAGCATGAAGTTGAAAAAAGTAAACTCTGTCAAAAATTATGTTCTGTATTTTATTCACTCCTGGAAGAGGGACTGCAGTACTTCTAAAAAGTAGGGTGCGACTCATAGCAGTCTCCAAGTATTTTATTAGACAAAAACAATTGTGGTCTTTTGCACAAGAACATTTATAGAAAAAAAAAGCAGAAAAAAATACCAACACAACTTTCCAAATATATAAACTTTGGTGGCATTTATATCCTTTCTCAGGGCACTTTCTGGAAATATTCCAGCCTCTCACAGAGCAGGACTTAAGGAGTACTTAATGTCTTCTGAAAAACAAAGCCTGTGTTCAAGCACTTTGTTATATCAGGGACATTGCAGAGAATTTTATTAACAGAAATATTTGAGCAAAGAGTAAAAAGAAACTCAAATCTCAGAGAAGACAAGTTCATAATTTATTTATTGCTACAAATAAAGATCAAGCTGAAAAGATACTTTCAAGATGTAGAGCCATTTGAGTCAAAAGTATCATAAACAAAAGTTTGACTGCTCTTTACAGGTCAGGTTTCTAACAGTGAACAATTGCTATGACTTGCTCAAAACTGAATCCAGAGCGCAAATTATTTACAGCCATAATCCCTGGAGTAGCATGGATGACTAAAAAAAATCATATGACAATCTGGCCATAAATTATCCACAAATGAAAAACAAACAAGCAAAAAAAACCCCAGTAAAACAAAACAAAACCAAACCTAAACAAACTAAAAACTCACCAGAAAAATGTCAGGCAAACAAGATATAAAACAGATATCGAATTATTTCACTTTATTAATTAATTTCTAGTGTAATTTTTGGAATTCTTTCAATAATAAGGTTGATTACATTTCCTGAATCATATGCTTTTTTAAATTAGTGTCATGTGTGCCCAAAAGCCAGAGAAATATTTGCTGCTATAATGAAGCTTTAAATAAATAATAATTTAGGGTTGTCTCTTAAGACACAGAAGAGTCACTATTTCTTATAAAAATAATTCCCACATGAAAACTAGTAATTAACTACAGAGCAGAAAATGTATATGCTTACCATTTTTTTTTTTTTTTCAAACCTGACAAACAGGATGCAGATAAAGACAACATCTCTGGAGCTGTAGAAATCTCAAATTATCTCTTTCTCACTACCTGAAAAGTAGCTCCTGTGTTTCAGGGACAAAGAAAAGTTTTCTCTGCACTGTGTGAGATTTACTATATCGAAAGCCAATTCTCCCAGCCTATAATTCTTATTGTTAACAGAGAAGACTTAGAACACCTGTGTTAATACAATCCATCCATTCCTTCAAAGAAAATGAGGAAAAGTGACAGGAGGAAGCTGGGCTGACCAGACAAGAAATAAAAATGTGATTACAAGGCTAGAAGAAAAATGGAAGAAGAAAAGGGGAAATAGGAGATTGTTGCTATTAGCTCACCTGTACACATAGAATATGGTGCATTCTTGGCCTATAGACTTCCATGCTACCATCTGTACTTTTCCATGCTGGAAAACAATTTTGCAGTCTTTTACCAATTTAGAGAGAGCACTGTGAGAAAAACACTAGCCTTGCAGGGAGCTGGGAAGGTAGCAGGGATGCGTGATGTCAGCATGCTGAGGGTACGGACATGATGGAGAAAAAGACTTAGAGACAGAGAAACAGCAGTATGGCTGCCCAAGATGTGGGTTAGACGTTGCCTTGAAGACTCTGTACACCTCTGGTGACCCCCGCTCAAGAAAGATGAATTTAAATCAGAAAACACACAGTTCAGACCTATTGGGAGGCAGTAACCTCCTCTTTTATGCAGCGTGATGGGAAGTTTTTATTTCTATGCAGAATTTGTGTATACCAATGGAAGAAAAACCAAGGGAGAACAACAAAGTTTTTCGGCAAGGGTGGTAAAACATTTTCAGAGGTCATCCAGAGATGTGATGATTGCCCCACCCCTGGGAACAGTCAAAGTCAGGCTGAATGGGGCTTTGAGCAACCCAATCTACTTGAAGATGTTCCACTTATGCCAGGAGGGCTTGAGTAGATGGCCTTTAAAGGTCCTTTACAACCCCAACCATTCTGTGATTCTATTATTTTCTTTTTCTTCATAAATCTCTGAAGATAAACCTCAAATAAAGGGGAAAGACTATTAACATTCAGAAAAGATCTTAAGTTAAAACACTAGGTCAGGGTAAACTGCTGGAGGAGTTGCCAAAAGACTTCTAAACACTCCAGGTGTGAATGTCTCAAACCATCCTTCCGTGCAGGACAGCAGGACGCTGCACTGCACTCAGCACCCAAACAGGGAACGATGACAGGAGTCCCACGGGCAGAAAAAACATTCAGGTGCACTCAACCAGGCAGCGTTCGCCCCGCTGCCGGGGAGACCCGTGAGATGATTTCCCCGTGATGGCCAGCGTGGCTGCGGAGAGGGATTCCTCTGAGATTCTGGCTATCCAACACAGGACGTGGAACGTGTCGATACCCCAAGCATGGTATTAGTCTCAGACCTGGGGTCAGTACGGCTCCAACAGCCCAGGATTTAACCCGTCTACCAGAACTGAGACAATGACGGGGATCCCCTGATCCTTTCAGATGCACACACAAACGCCCATCTCAGCTCTGCCCTGTTTTCCCCTTAGGACAAGGGTGTTCTGTCCTAAAAGCCATGTTAGGCAGTGCCCCGGGTTTGCGGAATCTGGATCTCGGGTCCCACATGTTAGAAATCGGTTCCGTTTGAAGCAGCAGCGCATGGGAAGGCATCGGGCACTGCTTTCCGTAACAAGCGGCAGCGGCAGACACGGCTCCACCGCTGGCCGAGGGGGAACCGAAGCCTCACCTTCGGTTCGCAGCCCCTGGGACGCGGAGAACTGTTCCGCTGCCCGGGCGCGGTGAGGGGGCGTCCCGCGGCAGCAGCGGACGCGGAGCTCCGTAGGGGCTGTCCCGGGACCCTCCCCGAGGGGTTCAAAGGGGCGGCCCCCCAAGCCCCTTCCTCCCCTGGGCGGCCCGGGGAGGAGCCGAGCGGGGCCGGCGCTCGCCGTCCCTCGCGGCGGGAGCGCAGCGCAGCCCAGCGACCGCCCGCAGCCTCGCTGGCAACTTTGCCCGGCTCCGGAGCCGGCGGGGAGCGCTCCGAGGGCTGCGGGGGGCAAGGGCAGGGGGCTGGCGCGGGCAGCCGGGCCGGGGTTACAGGGCGGAGGGCTGCGAGGCGGGGAACGGAGCCGGGAGCAGCGCGGGGAGCGGCGGCGGGGAGCCGGGCAGGGGCGCGCCGGAGGGCTCGGGGCAGGGAGCGGGGAACTGAGCCGTGCAGAGCCCGCCCGGGCTGCGGAGGAGCGGCCGGGCAGGGGCAACCGGGCAGGGCAGATCCCGGCGGGGGTCGGGTGCCTCCCCGGCCTCGCGGAACCGAGGGGGGCGGTCCGGGGGCTGAGCCTCCCCGCAGCCCCGGGGCGGGGGCGAGGCGGTGGCGGCCCCATGGGCGGCGGCGGGGGCGGCTGTGCGCGGGGCTCGCCCGCCGCGGCTGATGCCGCCGTCGCCCGCCCGCGGGGCTCTTGATGCGGGCGGCGGGAACGCAGGAGGCGGCGGCGGGGGGCTCCCGGCCATGTGTCGGCCGGGGATGCGCGGGGTCTTGGGACGAGCTTGCCTGCTGCTGCTGCCGCCCTGCGCCCTGGTGCTGGCGGCGGTGCCCGGCTCCGCGTCCCACCCGCAGCCCTGCCAGATCCTGCGCCGCATCGGGCATACGGTGCGAGTGGGGGCCACCCACCTGCAGCCCCGGGCCGCCCCCGCCGCCGCTGCCTGGCCCGGGGAGGCGGCGGGCGGACGCCCCGAGGGGCCGCGGGGCCGGCGGGCGGGGGGCGGCGGGGGACAGCGGCGGCCGCCCCCCTCGCCGCGGGACGCGCTGCTGCTGGCCGTGGCCAACCTGAACGGCGTGCCCGGGCTGCTGCCCTACAACCTGTCCCTGGAGGTGGTGATGGCGATCGAGGCGGGACTGGGCGACCTGCCCCTCTTCCCCTTCTCTTCAGCCAGCGCTTCCTGGAGCAACGACCCCGTCTCCTTCCTGCAAAGTCTCTGCCACACTGTGGTGGTGCAGGGGGTCTCAGCCATCCTCGCCTTCCCGCAGAGCCGTGGGGAGATGCTGGAGCTGGACTTCATCTCGGCGGCGCTGCGCATCCCGGTGGTCAGCATCGTGCTGAGCGAGTTCCCCCGGCGGAGTCTGGTAAGGCGCTGGGGACGCGGGGAGAAAGCGGTGGGCAGGGCAGCGCCCCGGGGACACTGCGGGGAAGGGTCGGGGGACCGGCGTCGGAGGCGAGCAAGGGTCTCGGCGGGAGGATTCTGACCGAGAGAGAAGCGCTCAGACCACGGGGCTGCTGGAATCGCTCTTCCATCCCTCGCTCCTTTAGCACCCCGTTGCGCTTTAGCCCCGGGGTGGCCGGAGAGAAGCATCCTCTCTGTGGAAAGGCAGACAAGCGCTCTGTGGCACGAGCGAAGTTATTAGCCCGTAGTCATAGACTGCGATAAGTTACGGAGCCGAGAGCAGAAGGGGGGTCCAGGACATGCTTTGCGTATCAGGAAAAGGTTGTTAAGGACGAAAGAAAAAAAAAAAATGCAAACCAAAAAATGGTCTTAATGCTGTGATCTGTGTATGAGCGCTGTAGGTTGGGGCACCAAGTGACACTTCTCAGGAAAGTTGTTCAGTGTAACTTGACTTTGCATCGAGCTGAGCTAAAGCGCCAGGATTTTCTGTAGTTCAGTTTCATTTGTAGCTCATATGTTGGTACTAGATCAGATTTTTGCTAATTAGAGTTGCGTAACTAAAATAGTGGAAACTGCAGCCCATCCTATTTGTTTGATTGTGTAGCTGAAATAGTAGAAATTGAATTCTTTGTGTTTGACAAACCTGTTAGGTGCAAGTAGAAGTAGCATTAGGAGCTAAACTTTCTATTATACAAAGATGGCAACTCCGTGTTACACACTCTGGAGAAAGGTAAGAGGCACAGTATGTTGAAACCGTGTGTTTGATGCCAGGAATCATCTTCAGGTTAAAGAGCTGTAAGAAAATGCTGTATTCTGTAAAGCTTGTGCAAGGGAAGTCCAGAGTAAAATGGTACAAGCTGCTTTTTAAATACAGGATAAATAGTTGTTTTACGTAAAAAATGGTAGCTTAACTTTGCTTTCAAAATGTAATAGAAAAAAAACTTAGCCAAGTGAATTTGCTTTTCAAAAAAAAAATATATATATATATAAAATATACATATATACACAGACCACAGCCTGGATTTAATTTCTGTGGGTTTGGGGTTTTTTTCAGTTTTTGTGTGTTTGAATTGTGACACAAAAGGTAGAAAAAGTCTGTGTTAAGTAGTTCTTAGTCTGTAACTGAAGATGTGACTGCTGTATCCTGGTCTGGATCACAGAATGGTTTGAGTCAGAAGGTACCTGAAAGATCACCTCGTTCCACCCTCTGCCATGGGCAAGGACACCTTCTACCAGACCAGACTGCTCCAAGTCCAAGCCTTATCCAGCATGGCCTTGAGCATCTCCAGGGATGGGGCAGCCACAGCCTCTCTGGGCAGCCTGTGCCGGGGCTCCATCACCCTCAAAGTCAAGGATTTCCTCCCAGTATCCCATCTAACCCTGCCATCTGGGATTTTGAAGCTGATGCCCCTCCTCCTGTCACTCTATGTCCTTATCAAAATCCCCTCCTCAGCTCTTTTGTAGCCCCTTTAATTCAGCTAGGCTTCTCCACGTCAGCAAAACCCATGTAACTCAGATCTCTCTAGGTTTAAGCCGAAACTCAGGGGTAATCAGTTTTGCTGAATTCTGCCAGTAGCACACAAGTTTGCTGTTACATCTACCAGCCTTGCATCTGCAGTCACAATGGTGCTGGAGTCAACAGCCAAAGCTCCCCGAGGGCCAAATCCTGAACCCAGGATTTTCTCTGGCTGTTAGCATTATTTTATCTTCCATCTCTGGGAAGGGTCTAAATTCACCCAAAGCTGCCTGAGTTCACCAGATGTGTTAAACACATGCAGCACAGGGTTAGATTTCATTGCTGCTTTCCATGGACTTCAGTGCTTAACTCTCAAATTGTTCTCAGCAGGGAGCCCAATGGATCAGTCTTTCCAAATCAGGACTTTGTTCTTAAGCAGATTTTAACTGGTATTGTCTTCAGTGACAGTGAAACCAATGCTGGCACTGCACCTGTGCTGAAGAGACTCAATTTTTCCTTTGGGCCAAGCTAAAATAAAAAGACTTTTCAAGGACCTGTGGATTTAAAAAAACAACTCAGTCTTACTCAAAGACCAGCAGACACTTGTATTCAATGTGTTAGTCTATTAAGGTTGTCTTGGAAGAGCTGATATCTTTCTGAGCACTGTTTTTTTCATACTTTCACTTATTACATACCATTTTTAGGCTAATGCTGGAGGCAGTGCTACAGCAGCTTTGCTTTGCATACTTCCTAGAGTTACAGGATTTCTAAGAGCATACTGGACCCAGGAGTCCCTGGAGATGTTGGCCTCAGCAGTCTCTGTTGCAGGCAGGGACTTTGTGTTGCTCACAGTCCCATACCAGCACTGACATGAAATGAACACGCCACAGACCTGTCACCTTCCTATCTCTATAGACCTGGAGCTGCAGTTTGGCTTCTTCTACTGACTGGCCATCTTGGAGGAGACAGTTGTAAATTACATTATTGTAGACAAGGCAGTTTTTGCTGATAGGCCCATCATGCAGATTTCCAGAGGAGAAAAGAAGACTGATTTCTAACCCTGCTTCTGAATTGGCACTCCTGCGGTCACCCCTTCTGCTGATGCTTGGAGGGAGTATCTTCCCTCCCACCAAACCACTGCAGCATGCCCTTGGGAGTGCCTGCAGGTATCTTCCTTCCACACAGGCACAGGAGCAGACCCAAAACTTGTTTTGCCCTTAGAGAGCATTTTGCACAGTGAAGACCATGGCAAACATAACAAACCCACTATTCAGTAGGTGCTGAGTCACTGCTTCTCCTCAATATGGAAATCTTTTATTAGGGTGGTCTTAAGGTAGCAATATCTAGCAAAGTCTCATTTTCCACACTACAACAGGAGATGAACATACACATGCAATGTCTTGTACTGCTGCTGAATGTTAATGTCATTACTTCATGCATAAGTTTGTAACAGACAAATGTTCACTGTAACTGAAAAGCATTTTGATGTTGGAGCAAATCTTCTCTAATATGGCAAAAAGCAATGCTTAGAATAAAAGGGAAGGTAAAGATTCAGAACTGAAATACATTTCAATAATACTGTCTGTTATCTCTGGTATTTGATGATAGTAATACTTCAGATGTGTAACATGAGAGGAAATGTACAGCACTACAGATGGGCAGATACAGTAATGTAAGATACCTAGACAGTGTTTTCAAAAGTTTTGTTGATGTTCAAGCATATTTAAAAATCCATTTCTCATTAAATTCTACCACCCTGAGGATACAAAAAAAAAAAAAAAAAAAAAAGACACCAAAGTCTTTCCTCATGACATGAATGATCACAAGGCGTGATGCTACACTTGTTCTCCCACAAAGCAACAGCCTATTCTGGAGGTTTGGGAGTGTGTTGGTTTCAAGGGAGGCAACACAGAGTAAAGTGTGACACACTTTTTTCACTTTATATATGTGATTTAATTGTTAATGTACACTAACAGTAAATCCAACTGCTGTTGTGACCTGAAAAAATGCTGTTTACTTTTCTCACTCTACTGTCATTTCAGTAAATTTTCACACTCAGTAAGCAAAAAGTAACAATTTAACACTGTCATTCAGCAAGGAAAAAACAAGCACTGGATTTCTTCACTACTAACACAAGTGCAAATTGCAGTGAAGCTTTGACAGCTCATTATTTTGGAGAAAGCATCTTCACAAGCACTGATGCCACTGAGGCAAGGCTTGTCATTTTATGTATGTTTGTATCAAGAGAAACACTTTATTTTTTGATTCCAAGATTGCCAATGTCATTAACAATTTTCCCATGGATGGAACAGGGAAAAGATCCAGGGAACATGAAGCATAAATAAATACAGTGATACTGCTTCTAGTAAAACAGCTCAGAGCTGAGAGTCTGGGAAGAATAGCCCATAATATCAATTTTGTTGGTGATAGTGTCAGAAACACAGGGGAGGTCATGTTTCCAGCAGTGTTCTCTGAATTTAAAGGAGTATTTTTAGTGGGTTTCAGATAAATCAGGATCTCTGGTGTCTGTTAACATGAAAAGGAACCTTCTCAGAGCAACTAAACAGAGTAAAGTAATTGCAAGTCATCAGTCCCTGCCAGTCTGTGCTTTACTGGGCTTCTTGAGGAACTGAAACTGCAGTGCTACTGATTACTGCTATGACTTCAGAAGGGGTCAAAAGAATAAATAAACCAAATCAAAGTTCCAGATTAAATTGAATTTTCCAGTGAAAAGCAAGCTCAGCCTCAGAACAGATGCTGTAAAAAGAAACTGCCTATAAACATTTTAATTTTTTAAAATTTGTTTTTAAAGTAATTAAGTGCTATTTTTTAACAGCTTCCTAATTTATAGATATATGAGACCAGCCTGGGTGAGGAATTACAGGTCTTTTTGGAAATAGACAAGAATACCACTGTGAATACAGTGGTCTCAGAAGTCATACTGACCTGCAAGACACAGACTATGCATTGCACCAATGAAGGCAAACAGAAATTACAGCAAAGGGATGGAGAGGTGGGAAAGCTTCTGCCCAACTAAATGCCCAAATATACTTTTTTTCTTTCCTCCTCAGAGACAGAATTTCATTTTTGCAGAAAAGTGGTTTTGATTTTAGAGAAAGTTTTAATAATTCCATTTTCCAGGGAGAGAATGCAACACACATGTTTGGCTGCAGACTCTGGTCATTCAAATAGTCACTGCTAATCTGTTTTAGTCCAGATAGTGGAAGCTTGTGTTAGCTTCTGTGTAGATGAGGAATACGTGTTCAGTCTTTCCCTGTGGCCAGCAACCCTCCTCACCTCACACTGAGTAAATAGGATGGTGGCATTTGCCTTTTGTGTACTTCAGGAGGGTTTATGAGAGGGGTCTTGAGAGGAATTGAGGACATAAATTGAGAGGATCTGTAAACAAATGCCAAGTTGCTTCTCTTTCAGCCAGAGACCCCAGTGATATTTCGTATATCAAAAATCTTGCATGGAACAACAAAAGGGGGAAAAAAACCCAGATT